GGGGTCTCTCAGGAGCCCTTTCAACAAGTGGCACAAAAAAGTAGGAATTCAGTAATCTCCAAAATAGGCCAGATAATTAAATCCATTTGCAGCAGGTGATGTTTAACTACTATATAATTTTTATTTTAATCCTTTGATTAGTTAACTTATTCACATGTACTAAAAAAGAGATACAGTCGAATTCTTCCTCCATCCTGCCACCCTGGCCCCAGCCCCCTATTACACAGGGGACCACTCTTTATGGTAGACAACAAATACCATTAGTAATAATAATAACATTTATGTACTATTTGCTCCAGGCCACACACTGTTCTAAATGCTTTGTGACTATCAACTTGTTCATAAGCTGTGAAGCAGAAGGTGTAATGTTGTCCTTTTTACAGAGGAGGAAGCTAAGCATAGGGAGGTTAAGTAGCTTACCCATGATCACTCAGCTGTATGGTGCCATCAGGTTTCAAAGACCAGCAGTCCGGCCCTGGAATTAATGGGTTTATCCATTATGTCACCTTTAAAGAGTCTTTATGCAAATACAAGCAACCATAAAGATACAATATTCCCCCTTCATTTTCCCCCAAAGGATAATACACAGTTCTCATTGTCCTGCTCCTCTGTTTTCTTTCATAATGAACCTACGTCTTGGAAATCCTCCCACATCAGGACATAGAGAACTTCCTCCTGCTTTCTTGCAGTACTGTGCTAATTTGACTAAAGACTCTCCCCTTCATGGTTCAACCTGGAAGTAGTGGCTGAAGTGGATCTTTGCAGCTGTTCCTGCAGGTCATGATGGAGTGGCTAACTGGACAAATTTTAGGTCTGCCAGCCAGCTCTTTTAACTGAGGTATGCTATTAAGGTTCACCATTGGAAGTAAGAGCAGCAGGGGGAAGAGGGGAAAAAACTCGCCAGTCCACGAGTGTTTCCAAATAGCATTAGGTGTCACACACAAGAGGAATATTCATGCAAAACCCCTCTCCTGTGTTCATGCAGAAGCAGCAAGCAGGAGCTACCCTTGAACAGTTGTCTTTCAGAAATCAGGTCTCTTCCTAAATGTGACACTGTACTTCATATCTCTGCAGCAGCCTTGCAGCCAGAATTGGCAAAATGGAAGTAAAGGCACTGCTCTCGTTGGGGTCTTGAAGGAAAAGTAGAACAGAGAAGGTGCTCATCCCTGGGGGAGAGGGTGCCGGGAAGCCTCACAGTAGTAGGTGGCCAACTCTGATCTCTCAGACTCTGATTCTAACACAATGTATCTATCAGGCGGTGGGCTTCAACCCACTTCTTTTTTTTTTTTTTTTTCCTGGTGCTTTCTGCATCTTAATCATTTCTTCCTTGTGTTTGTCCCTCCAGTTACGTGCTTTAACCTGATCACAGGGATTGCTTCCCCAAAGTTAAGCTACAGATGGAGTTGTCCCAAGGCCAACTGTAGGAAGAAGACAAAGCTGATGCGATGGAAGTGACTGCTCCCTAAGACATATCTGTGGTCTGGGAAGACCCAGGTTTAGCAAAAAGAAGGAAAAATAAATATTAACTGACTCAAATCCGGAAAGAGGAAGCAGACGCTTATTTCATTTTGAAAAATGAGGGTTCAAATTGGGGGCAGGCTAGGTAAGGGAATTCCCTCCCTTTTGAAATACTTACCAGGAACAAGAATCACACATTTCATATTCAATTGTAAGGTACTTTTTATAAACATGGGAAGTATTTTCTTTAAAGTGTGTGTATCTTATTCCCCTTTTGGAATCCTTTAAAAAAAAAAAAAGTGTTTTCCAAATCTATTCTGGTAGAAGTGGAGTCTTTTTTTTTTCCATGTAACTTATAACCAACCCTGTTTTTCTTATAAAAGATGCTCACTGGTTTTGTTTTGCTCATCATTGTGGATGGGCTAGTGACAGCTTTAAAAAAAATCACAGTGTGTTTAGTACTTGGATGTTGTTGTACAGTTTCAGAATAATTCACACTGCAGAAGACAGAAGTAGAGTTTTATCTCTTAAAGACTTCCAGCCAGTTAGACTTAATACTAGTCTTATTAGGGTCTTTGAGAGGTCTTACATTAGCTAAAGACCTGTCAGGAGGAAATGAGAAAATGCAGGGAGAATTTTAAGGGCCTGGCAAATGTTAGTTGTTATTATAACCTATAAAATGGGTATAATTAAGTCACATTCACGTCCTTCAGAGGCTTCAAGATTTTGTGTGCATATGAAAGACTACGTGCAGGGATCCCTGGGTGGCTCAGCAGTTTGGCGCCTGCCTTCAGCCTAGGGTGTGATCCTGGAGTCCCAGGATCGAGTCCCATATCAGGCTCCCTGCATGGAGCCTGCTTCTCCCTCTGCCTGTGTCTGTGCCTCTCTCTCTCTCTCTCTCTCTCTCTCTCTCTCTCTGTCTCATGAATAAATAAATAAAATCTTAAAAAAAAAAAGACTACGTGCAGATAATTTTCCACATGCACAGAGGACACTGTCAGTATGGGTTATTGACAGGGAATTCAGAAGTAAATCCTAGTCGCCCCCCAACCCCCACATGGCATGTCCTTGAATGCTACAGAAGCTCACTTTACCAATATTTGTCCCCTCTGAGCTTTTATGGAGGCCCAGGAGAGGGAAAAGACTCCACAAGAGTATTACTGCCCATGACATTGGCCATATTCTTCTGTGACGGTCACAGAAGGCTCTGTTTTCTAGGACCTCCAAGGAGGTCAGTGCTCTGTGAAGGGTCTCATGGGCAGATATCTGAGTCCCAGTCCAGTCCTTGTTTGTGCTGCCTTCCTGGGGAAAGAAAATGTAGGGAGGAAGAGTCCAGAGAAAGTGGAACAAATTGAGGCTATTTCTCTTTTAAAAATCAGGTGATATTACAGAAGAACGTTGGCCTTGTAAAAGTGGAGGATAGAGTGGGGTTGCAGTTGAAAAAAAGCAATAAGCAATCTGGAGATTGGACACACAGAGTCACTTTGTAATCTAGACCCAGGTAGGAGGGGTAACAGCAAAGGCCATGTCCTTCCAGAGATTTTAAGAAACTACTACAGGTGAGATTCAGTGAAACTCAGAATGAAATGCCCACATTTGTCAGGTAACAAGCTGAGTTTTTATTTTCACCTTCTCCTCCCAATGTTTGACCAAAATTTTGGCATCATGCTGGACTAGTCTTCTGACAAATGCTCTAGGGTGTGGGGCTCTGGAGCACCGACGTGAGATGCTGATATCACCTGGGGCCAATGTGGTGGTCTTTGCTCATCACTACCTGGCCGACCTTGAACAACCCCTGCCCCCCTGTGGACCTGTTTCCATAACTGTAAAATGAGGCAATGCACTTGATGCATTCATTCATAGAACATCTCTTTTTAACTCTAATTCCCCTGACTGGAACCTCTTGTACGGTATTTAACAGAAGTGGCAAGAGTAGACATATTTGACTTGTTTTTGACCTTAGAGGGAAAGTATTCAGTGCCTCCTCACTAAGTATGATATTATCTGTGAGTTTTTCATAGTTACCCTTTTCAGGTTGAGTTAGTCCCATTGTAACCCTAGTTTACTTAGCATTTTTATCATAATAGAGTATTGGATTTTGTCAGTTGTTTTTTCTGCATCGGTGGAGCTGTTTAGGTGGTTTTTGTCCTTTATCTTTGTCTAGTAATATGATGGATTACATTAATTGATTTTTGGATGTTAAACTAACCTTGAATTACTGGGATTGGTCACACTTGGTGATGGTGAATAATCCTACTCAGAGATTGCCAGATTTGGCTTGCTAATGTTTTCTTAATGTTTATATCCAGGAACAGCTGGATGGCTCAGTCGGTTGGGCATCCAACTCTTGATTTTGGCTCAGGTCCTGATCTCAGGGTGGTGAGATCAAGCCATGTGTCCAGCTCCACGCTGATCATGGAACCTGCTTAAGATTCTCTCCTTCTCCCTCTGCCCCTCCCCACTCACATGCTCGCTCTCTCTCTCTCAAATTTTTTTTAATTTTACATCTATTATTCATAAGGAATATTGGTCTGTAGTTTATAAAAAATATTTATTGAGCAACTTATGTGCCAAGCATTGTTCTAGGGATTGGGGAGTCAGCAGTTTTTCAGAACAGAGAGAAAAATCTTTTCTCTCATGGAGTTTACATTCCCCTGGATGACCAGCACAGCTGCTTTCAGCTCACATTCTGACATTTTTTTCTGTGTCTGCTCAATGATGTTGTGTGTTCCAGCCTCCATGCCAGGCTTCTGGTAAGCTGGATGGCCAGCATCTGGAGATTGGAAGGGGATGACTTTCATTTTTAAATTGCTCCTCCATTCTTCCCCCTTTTAAAGTAACCACTTCTAATATGAGGTGTCAGTGTTTTGAATATGAGTTCTTTTATCCAATATGATAGTCATGAGATTCATTGATGGGGCTTTGTGTTGTCATGGTTTGGTCATTCTTACTGTTATATGCTATTTCATCGTATGCATATTCAGCAGTTTATCCACGACACTGTAAATGACATTCGAATTATTTGCTGCTTGGGGCCCTTGCTGAACAGCACTGCTGGGCACATGTGTAGATCAGTTTCCCTTTTTTGTTTGCTCGACTTTAGGATGCAGGGATGCACCCGACCTATGCATGCGCCCAGCAGTGCATCCCTGCACCCTAAACTGCTGTGCCACAGGCTGTGTTTAAATTCAGTTTGGGTCGATTCTGTGAGTTTTCAACAATGAGGGTAAAAAGTAGGTTCCCACCAGCAAGGAATGACCCCTCCAGGTGCTATAAACAGCTCCAAGTGTTACAAACACGTTGTAGCCATCCCAGCCAGTATGCCCCAGGATCACACTCTCTCTGGCATCTAGTAAAACAAGGCAGGAGATCCTGTTCATTTCAAATATGACCAATTAAATGGAGCCATCTGCCCACCTTGGGCCTTTCTTCACAGGTGGTACAGCTTTCCTGGGCACCCCTGCCATGCTAGCAGTGGAATCCAGAGGCCGTTTGTGTCCAGACATCCTTCACGGCCCCTGACTGGCTTTATATTTTCCTAGTAGGAAAAAGAAAAATGACTCCGGGAGATCAATCAAGACTGCCCAGGACCAAGTGCCTACATACCAGTATAACATGAATTTTGAGAAGGTGGGCAAATGCATCATCATAAACAACAAGAACTTCGACAAAACGACAGGTAAGTGTTGTGGGCCAGGGCTAACCTTTCCCGTTGCCTTCAGCTTGTATCAGACTTCACTTAGAGAAGGGCTGTGCCCACCTGCTGTGGCAGGCAACACCCCGCCTGATGCTGTTCATGGCCCGGGAAGAAGGCATGAGGGATGTCAGGAGCTTCAAGTCTAAGGTCCCACCTGGTGCATGAGCTGATGGGGGATGTGAACAAAGGGCTAAGAATCAAGGGGAGCTGTTTGGCCTTGCTAGGAGCAGAGGGTTGCCGTGACGAGGCTCACCTTCTGTGGGCAGGCTGGATGACCTTCTCCTTTGAGTTTGCTTCTTATTTCAGTTGCTCATGCACACAGTGACCTTGGGGGAGCATTTACACCAGAGCCAGTAAGGCTACGCTTAGTGCCTCGACCAGATGCTGCTGGCAGGCAGGTCTCAACCAGGGATGGTTCATCCTGGGCTTCCTTCCCACAGGGATGGGCGTCCGAAATGGAACGGACAAAGATGCCGAGGCTCTTTTCAAGTGCTTCAGAAACCTGGGTTTTGATGTGGTCATCTATAATGACTGTTCTTGTGCCAAGATGCAAGATCTGCTAAAGAAAGGTGTGTATGTGTGTATGTCTCCCCGCCTCCCACCCTCCCACCTCCTCCCTGCTCCAGGACGGAGTAGCATGCCCCTCTTGGGAGGGTGCCTCTGTGGGATGGAGCGATTTCCGCCTGGGCACCCTTGCCATCCTTAGGGTTACTCGGGCCCAGGCAGGGGAGCTTTTCAGGAAACTTCGATCTCTCCCCTAAAAAGATGAAATCAGTGCCCATGACAGCAAGCGATAGGTTTGGTATCTATAGGACGGTCTCAGTTTCAGAAAGCTAATTCATAGAAAAGGAACAAGTCTGTATCTTCCTGTCTAGAACACAGCTGAAAGTGTCAACTTTTCCCTGGTGGCAGATAAATAATCTCCATATATTTAGAAGTACCTTAGGTTTTAGAAAGATTTTATAGATAAGGGAATAAAGGCACAAAATGGTGAAGTCACTTGGCTGGCATCACAGACCAAGCCCATCAGCACCCCTAGATGCTGCCTCCCAGCAGCCACCTGAACCCCGCCCACACATGGGGCACACCTCCTCAAGAGGCAGCACCGACTTGGTGTCAGACTGAGTGAGAATTCTACTTCTCTCCACTGGTCTTCCTTCTCTCCACAGAGGTGCTCCTTCCCCTGCATACGTGTCTGACAGTCGGTGGCCACTGCCAGTCTGGGAGGGAGGACCCTTTGGAGGTCCCATAGGACTTTTATCTTAACTTTTCAGTCCTCAAATCATTTGCTTGCAGCCTCTGAAGAGGACCACAGAAATTCTGCTTGCTTCGCCTGCATCTTACTAAGCCACGGAGAAGAAAATCTAATTTATGGAACAGATGGCATGACAGCAATAAAGGACTTGACCGCCCATTTTAGGGGGGATAGATGCAGAACCCTTCTAGAGAAACCCAAACTCTTCTTCATTCAGGTAATCACTTTTCAAAGCCAAATACCACTGCAAAAGATAAAAGAGTACAGAGTGATTACAGAGTGACTTGGGTTCTAACACACATGTAGGTGCAGTTTCAGTTGAGGATGGCAAACTTGAGTTTTGTTTTTCTACCTCCAGATGCTCGGCATCTGTATTTGCATCAGATCACCATCTGTGAAGACTTCCTTAAGACACTGCAATATTTTCATTTGCTTTGTTTGCTAATTTGACACAACCTTTGTCCATTATTTACTTATTTATCAAATTCTCATTGAGCTGCTAGCACATGCCGGGCACACCCCTCGGCACTGGGCCACGGCAGTGAAGAGCACACAGGTTCCTGTTCCTGACTCCACGGAGTGATCTTTGCTTTGGTATTTAGGCTTGCCGGGGGACCGAGCTCGATGATGGGGTCCAGGCCGACTCGGGGCCCATCAATGATACAGATGCCAATCCTCGATATAAGATCCCCGTTGAAGCCGACTTTCTCTTCGCGTATTCTACAGTTCCAGGTATCAAATCCATTGCCTGTTAACCAGACCATGCCATCCCACCATCACAGTGCAGGCTTCCTGCACAGTGCAGGCTTGCAATTCATTTCCTATTGCTGCAGCGATAAACTCCCCAAAACACAGTGGCTTCACAGAATTCCAGAAGGAACATTCTGGAGGCTTTTCCAACATGTTAGAATTCCCTAGTTTGTCGTCCACTGCCTCTGACCACAGCTGGGAAGGGTTCTCCTCTTTTAAGGACTGCTGTGATTAGGTTGGGTATCCCACCTGGAATACCCAGGATACTCTCCCCACCTCTCATTTCCATAACTGTGATCACATCTGCTAGAGTCCCTTTTGCATCTCAGGTAACATTCACAGGTTCTGGGGTTAGGGCATGGACATCTCTAGGGATCATGATTCTGCCTACCATGGGGATGTGTTCACTATTCTCTCCAAGTAAGCTCAATTCTTACATTTACTACCACTATTATTATTGGTCATAGTAAGAACAAACATTTCTATAGCACTTGACATTTTATAGAGTGTTTTCCTGTCTCTTACATTTCTATAATAATTGGGAAGTTAGGAAAGGCATTAGTATCTTAATTTGACAGATTTAAAAAAAAATGAGCTTGGGTGAGCTTCAGTGATATGTTCCAGGTCACATAGAAATTTCTGTATACAGCTATGGCTATAGCTCAGACCCAGATTCCTTTACATTGCAGCCCAGAAACAGGCACCAGAAAATGCCAGAAATGAGCAAGCCTATTCATTTCCCAAGTTCCCATGTTTGCCTTAGTTCAGTGGAATTCCTTCCTTTGTTTTAAGTAAAACCTATCACTTAGAACTCCCGCACGTGGGTAGTAGTTCTGTAGTAGGTCTTGGTTATAATAAATTGGTTAGTATGTTTGGAAAACCAAGTCTGGCAGGTGGGATTTCGTAAGAATGACAACTTCGCAAATTTTAAGGATCAGGACACCTGGGTGGCTCAGCGGTTGAGCATCTGCCTTTGGCTCAGGTCGTGATCCTGGGGTCTGGGGATCGAGTCTCACATCGGGTCCCCGCAGGGAGCCTGCTTTTCCCTCTGCCTGTGTCTCTGCCTCTCTCTGTGTATCTCTCATGAATGAATAAATAAAATCTTTTTTTTTTAAAAAAAACAAGTTTTAAGGATCATGTGAAAAAATAATTTGGTCTTCCTTCTCTCAAGAGGGAAGCAGTGTCATGGGGGCATGAACCTGGATAAACAAACCCAATGGTAGAGCTATAGGCACTCTGAGCAAAGTGTGGCAGAGGTAAAGGAAGAAGGGTGAACTCTAGGGAGGCAGTAAGAGAAGCTTTCCCAGAAAGTCGCTGTAACTGAGTCATGAAAAAAATCAAACAACAATGGGAGGGAAAGATGGGTTTACCAAACAGCATGCTGAAGGGTCAGATGCCCAGTGCTTTGGTAACACTCAAAAGGCCGGATCACGGGGTGTGTTAGCCTGCTTGGGCTGCTGTAACAAAATGCCACAGACTCAAGGGTAGGCATACATTTCTTACAGTTCTGGAGTCTAAGAAGTCCGCGATCAAGGCCCAGCCATTTTGGTTTCTAGTGGAGCCCTGCTTCTTGACTTGTAGACTGGCTACTTCTAGCTCTGTCCCCACAGGGCAGAGAGAGGTGGAGCTGAAGGGAGCTCTCTGGTGTCTCTTCTGATAAGAACACTAACTCTTTTGGATCAGGGCTCCACCCTTATAACCTCGTTCAACATTAATTACCTTCTAAAAGGCCCTGTCTCTGAATATAGTCCCATGAAGGGTTGGAGCTTCAACATTTGAGTTTTGAGAGACACAGTCCGTAGCACAGGATGTGACCAGGTATGGCATGGATCAGACCTGGATGGGTAGGCACGGGGCCGCATCTTGGTGAGTCCTCTGTGCTATGAGGAGCTATATCCTGAGCAGCCTAAACTTCACCCTGATAAAGAAGTACAATGGAGCTATTTTAGGTAGGAGAGCCACAGGATGAGTTTGTGTTTCAGGCTGGTTCCCTGGAAAACCATGTAGGTCAGGAGTTAGGGACACGAGGGCAGGGGCAGTAATGAAATGGGGTTGGCAGCACAGGACCAACCTCATCAGTTCATTTTACAGAATGAGATGAGTTATTCGAGCCCCTCTGCAAGCGAATTGCTTTCTGGTACTTGGGGCTTAAATCCCCTCACTGGTGGTTACCAGTGCTCGGTGCTGCAGGAAGAATTCTAAGTGTGCCTCAGTCACTTTACCCACATAGGTCATTCCTAGACTTACTGTACATCTATTCAATAAGTGATTGCTATCAATTATAATGGCGTTGACTGAATCTCATCAAACTGGTGAGACCACTTGGCAGTAGGAGCACAAAGCACAGCTTATCATGTAAGCCAAATACAGCCTGATTTTGTTTTATATGTTCCTTTCCAACTGGGGGTTGGGAGTGACAGAGTCTTCCCTTGACCATCACCAGGTCCGTGGTGCTCACACTAAGATATTAGACAGTATGGTCTCTCTCCAAGTTACAGTCACAGCACTGTAACCAGAATATCCAGACTGAAATAATAACTAAGACCCAGAACCCAATTCGGCCTTAAATTTCTTCAGGGTTCTGATCAGCCCTGCTATAGGTCTAAGGTGCTAACAGGGCCTTGATTTTTTCCCTTATTCACCTCCTTCACCATATGCCGGTTCCTTTTTAGACTCTTTCAGAGTCAAAGATGGGAGAGAGTTAGGGGAAGCTCCAAGTTGCATGGTTACCTGGCTTCTTGTGCTCTGCACCAATGAGATGATTAAAGCTGGGTCCTTTCTTCTTGGGCATGTTCTCGAATCCCTTCGTTTCCTGTGTCTTGCATCTCCTGGACTTTGATTTGCATCTCCATCCCTGGCTGTGTATTGTGATTCCTTCCTCAGCTCCTGGGAATCCTCCAGGACACTTGACCAGCCTCTTTATGCTGAGGTCTCCTTGTCCCTCCAAGAAATCCTGTTGGACAGACAGAGCGAAAGCTTCTTCTGGCATAGACCAGATGTGGTCCATGAGAAGCACACCCCTTGCCCTTATGGTGTTGGCCTTCTCAGAACAGCACGCTCTCTTGGCTTTACCCCTAAGGCAGTAGGTGATCCAGCCACCTCTCACTTCCAGATTTCTTCATAAGGAGTCAGGCTCCAGGTCTGTGTGCCTCAACAACAGGAACACATCTCAAAATTCTCTAAGATCTCCTGCAAATTCCTCTCTTGAGGCTTGGATTAGAACGTAGCTCTCACCTCAAAGGGCGGTGAGGAGTTCCAGAGTGCCGGAGTGCTTTTCCAGCATTTCCCTTGGAAAGCTCCACGTGCCCATTTGTCTCATCCACACTTAGGTATTTGATGTGTATCGTTCAGGAACATATGTGTTAAGCATCTCCATGCAGCCTTCTAAACTGAAGATGTTTGCTCTCTGAGCACACCAGCGTAATTCTCACTGGGAACTTGCAGGAAGAGAAGAGTAAGATAATTTCGGGAAAGCAGATATGAAGGCCCCATACACTGAGAGCCCATTCCTGGTGGTGCATGGGGCAGCGGCCAGCTCAGCTGATCTGATCTTCTCCTTTCTGTCTTGTTGAAGGCTATTACTCGTGGAGGAGCCCAGGAAGTGGGTCCTGGTTTGTGCAGGCCCTGTGCTCCACCCTGAATGAGCACGGCAAGAGCCTGGAGATCTTGCATATCCTCACCAGGGTGAACAACAGGGTGGCCAGGCACTTCGAGTCCCAGTCGGATGACCCCCACTTCCACGAGAAGAAGCAGATCCCATGTGTGGTCTCCATGCTTACCAAGGAACTCTACTTCTGAAAAGATAACCATTTCAGGGATGCATTCTTGCTGAAAAACCATGGATCATTTGTTCATGAGTCTTTTTTTTTTTTTTTTTTTTTTTGATGCTTTTGAAATACCTAGAAATTCTAAAGGTTTTTAATTCAGGAACATTTATTGATTCAAAAGGAAAGAAACTTTCTGGTGCTGTCTTATGTTCGTATGTTTTCAGAGACTCTCTCTTTTTTTTTTTTTTTACAATGTATCCATTTGATGGCTTTGTAATTTCTTCTTAAGACTAATTTTTTGTTTGTATTTATCTGCTTATTGTTCCATGTAGCACATACAACAGAAACAACCTCCGCAGACTCTTGGCTGTGTCCACCATGATTGGTGGTGACACGGTAGATGGGGTCTACTTGGCAAAGAGCATTGCAGGGCTGAAAAAAAAAAAACAGCATCTGTTCACCAGTGTTGCAGAAAGTGGGTATTGAGTGTGATTTGAGTGATTTTTCATTGGCTTAGGACAGATTCTCATGCAAAATTTTCCAGACAAAGGGAAAAAAATGTTAATGATTCTAATATGTATCAAACAGGAAACAGAAACCATTCTAGGTGTTTCAGTAGAGGAAATTTAATAGAGGAAATTGACCACAGAGATGATAAAAGAAACCCCAAATAAAAGGAATCTGTTACCACTTAAGGCTATGAAAAGGTGTGGTCCCCTTAGTCTAGAAGCTGGGGTAGCCCACAGGAAGTGGCAGCATGGTGGGGGCTGCCTGGTAAGAGCCGGGACCACCAAGGGATTGTGGGAATTGGAGCCATGGCAGAGACAAAGCCCCTCAACTGGGCAAGACCAGTTGAGTCAGATGTAAAGAAATACCGTGGCTTCATCTCTCCTGCCCTCGACTCTTCCTCCACCACCTTACCTGGAAGCCAGCTGACAAGCGCCTTGGAAGCATGATTTCCTGCAAATACAGAGCACAGCAAAGCCAAGTGAGGTGAGGCAGGAGCAAGGAGTGGGTTTCAGAATGGTCCATAATGTGAATATAAGTAAACCTAGTCCCTGAGGTTCAGCAATTCCTCCCTTCAATCATTTATTCATTGAATTGTCCGATAATCTCCGTATTGACCACTATGTGCAAAATAATTTTTTTTTTAGCTTTGAAATCTACCTGGAATTTTTTAGATTATTCCAAGCCTTATTCTGAGTAAATTTTTTGTTACCCCTAATTCTCTATGGGGAAAAAGTTTATGGCAAAGATTTTTCCACTTTGTTTTCAAGGTTACCTTTTGAATTCTTGATAAGTTACGATTTTATTCTGGCCTAATAACTGGTTAACACACAGATGTTCATATTTATTGATTAAAAAGTGGTTGCTTAATTCCTAACCTGCTCAGTTTGCTTTCTTTTCTTTTCTTTTTTTTTTTTTCTCAGTTTGCTTTCATTCTAAAGTTTTTTTATGGCAGTAGAAAAAATGGGAAAACGGGATAAGGATTGACCCTCACTGATTTGACCTCCACACAAAATATAATTCATGTCTCTTTTGAAGCTGGAACACTAACAGAACAGCAAGTCAGTCACTTGGGAAACTAAAATTGTTCACCTAAAGGGTTAATTAACTTATAAAGCTGTTCACAATGGGCTACCATTTATCTTCTTTCAATAAGAAAACTACTTTACGGCCAGTTTATTAGATCTGTCTCTGGTTTCCTGCCATCTAAAATATCCAATTGTACAAAATTTAAGTGCAGATCATGAATCAACAAGCATCCACCCTACCATTCTCAGAATTCATCAGCTGTTCTTTGGAAAACAGACTATCCTATTAAAGGAACCTCTTGTAGAAATGAATGTGCCTAAGTGCGTTGTAACTGGAAGTAAAAATTCTAGTACTCTAGTTATTTCCCTTGTAAACTTCATTAAAGATTCCAAGTGTCAGGGTATTGGGTTTCTTTAAAAATTCTCTTGAGCGATCACAGGTATTGAGCTCACAAATAATATTCCTTTGTGTCTTTTATTTTTTATTTTTTTAATAAATCTTATTGTTTATTGATGTTCAGTTTGCCAGCATATAGAATAACACCCAGTGCTCATCCCGTAAAGTGCCCACCTCAGTCACCCCCACCCTCCCCTTACACCACCCCTAGTTCGTTTCCCAGAGTTAGGAGTCTTTCATGTTCTGTCTCCCTTTCTGATTATGTGTCCTTTAGACCAGAGATAGAAGTGGCTGTCAAGAAAGAGCCTTCTTTGAATACTTCATTCACTGTGCACTCTTGTTTATCAAGATCAGAGATACTGTTCCAAGTTGAGTATGTGCTTAGTCACTTCTCCCCTCTTAACCTTTCTGATCTTTTTATAAACCAAAATTCTGATACAAACCCAATCTGGTGAATACATGTTCCTAGTTCTCTTTCTTATTTAGAACTCAGCCTGCCCCGTACCAGAGGAACCAGCAAAGCCCTGCCTTGGCTTGGTGAAAGCCAGTGCAGGTGGATATTATCCTCGCGAGCATAATGGGCTCATAGCTGGGCTTCTCTTTGTTTTTTTCTGAAGATACCATTAGCCTATTTTAAATGTTAGCTCTTGATATGTTCACAGTCAACCTTAGACTCCACCCTGAGCCTTTTCCTTGAACAAATTTCCATAAACCAGCTAAGCCTATTGTGTTTATGAATTGCCCAAAATAGGCCTCAAAGTACTGGAGTTCAGTGTATTCACATGGTTCAAAGCCTCCAGGAAAGGAAGGCCTCTCTGTGAGAAAGCAGACGGTGTTTTCTGGAAGGGCACAGGCCCTAGGTGACAAATCCTTTATCTTGTCCAGTCTTGCAGCGCATTGCCTGAAAATCTCGTCACCAAATACCCTGGGATCCAAAGATTGCCTTTGGACTCCCGAGGAGCACACCCTACCTGCCTTCTAGCTTTTCATCTTTCATGCCCTTTTCCGACAATCGTGTGGCCAAGTGAGATGCTGTGGTGGTCACCAAATTAAAGCAGCAATTTATCTGTGTCATTAGCAGGGAGTGTAGTAGCAGTAGGCTAGGTAGCACTAACCCGAAGGAATGTGATCCTTAAGAGGTCTTCAAAGATACTCAGATCAGAAGGTTCTTTTATATTGTTGGCCTTGTAGATAATGTAGTATGTAGTATCTTGCAGCATCTGGTGTGTGCACAGTGTTGTCAGCATCCCCTGGGAGCTTGTTGGAAATGCAGGATCCCGGGTTCCACCCCACACCTGCTTGACACAAATCTGCACTGTAACCAGGTCCCCAGAGGATCCAGGTGCATGTTACAACTTGAGAAGCTCAATTCTGAGTTCTTAAACATTTTTTTTTTTTATTTACGATAGTCATAGAGAGAGAGAGAGGCAGAGACACAGGCAGAGGGAGAAGCAGGCTCCATGCAGGGAGCCCGATGTAGGACTTGATCCCGGGATTCCAGGATCATGCCCTGAGCCAAAGGCAGGCTCCAAACCGCTGAGCCACCCAGGGATCCCCCTGCTCTCCCCCATTTTAAGTGAACCTTCTGAGCAACATAATAGGACTGCTTATATGTTCTCAAAGTGTCTTCAAATATGAATTGCAGCCTTTAAAATGTCCGCACAAATAGGATGGGATTAAGGGAGCCAATCATTGCATGTTTTCATTGGTGCAGGAGCTGTTGTGCATTGAAGTCTCAGAGCTTATCTCTTCCCACCTTCCCTCAGAGCCCAGGTGGACACCAAGAGAATTTTAGTTCTCCCTGCCAGTGTGTCCTCAGGCCATAGATCACCCTTTGATAGACCTCAGAGCTTTCATTTTGGATCAGATGGCAAGTAATTATCTTTGATTCGTAAATAATTAACACAAACACACCAAGAACACATTTGGAAGGCCCCAGCTACCACCACAGTGCTCATCTGGACATGGAAACCCCATAGCTTGCAGGTTCATGCATGAATAGCCATTAAAAATCACTTGGTCAACATTCAAAACCACAGAAACTAAATATGATGAGTTGGCTTTGCCATGAGTTTTGACTTATAACGCACTGTAAACCTGTATGGCAAGTTTCTAGTAAGTTTGTTTTAAGCATTTAAACACAAACTATGTCAGATATTTAGATTGAAGCACATGGTGTTATGGCTGCAGATAGACAAGGCTGAGCACCTCTTGAGTTTTGATGGTCTGACCAAAGTAGATGGCATGAGGTTCAGGGAGGATTTGGGAAAGAGGAAAATATAAACAGTCTGACAGTTTTGGTCTAAATTGCTGATTCCAGCTTAAGTAGTTCAAGCATATTTCAACCATCATGGCATTATACTTATTTCTTAGGATCCAAGATTAGCAAAGGTGTTTTAACCATTAGTGTTTAGAAATTTGGTTCTGAGTGCCATCTGAGTTCTAATCTCAGCTCTGCCATTTGACTACTTAATATTCATGTGACCTCAGGCAATCCTTCAATTTCCTCATCTGTACATGAGGGTAGTAATATCGTGGAGAATAAGGTATGTGAAGTGCTTATTAGCACAATGCCTGGCACAAAGCACTCAGTAGAAAGGTACAGGTTAAAGATGGTGATGATGATAATGACACGAAGCTTGTAGAAAAACAAGAATGGAAGATGCTCCACTGGACCCTCTATTTCCCCTCAAGGACTGTTTTTTTGATCATGTCTTCCAGTCTATGCCTTTCAAAGTGAGGTCTCCCAGAAGTGCAGTGATGACACCAAAGATTGATTTATGCAGAAAGAGTCCCACTAAGCGCCAGGTGTTGTATTAGGGGTGAGGCTAAAAAGATGACCAAGAAATGATGTTTTCCCCAGAGGAGGTTAACAAATCACTCCAATAAAATAGGAGCTGTTTTGTGTACTTTACTCCAGAATGCAGAGGAGGGGTGTTCCTTGCTTGGAGATTCAGAGAGGGGTTGCTGGAGGAAATATCTCCTACTCTTTCATCCTAGACACCCCTGAAAGGCTGAGTGGAGGCTGTATAGAAGGGAAAAAATTAAGGTCAATGGATAGAAGACGACTTTTTTACTTAAGAGATTCTCAAGCTTTGGGTACCTGAGGATCCTGCAGGATCTGTGTATGAAGCAGATTCGTGCACCCCATCCCACTCCCATTGTAATTCAGTATTCCTGGGATGGAGACCAGGAATCTGCTCATTTAACAAACTTGCCTGGATATCCTGATGCAGGTGCTTTATACTGATATCAGAAAGCTCCCTTGAAGATCACAAGTGGCTGCAAAGCCTAAATTAAACAGCTGGAGAAAGATCACCAAAGAGCCAGCAATGCCCTGGCTATTCACAGACCTAGCTATGCAGAGTCTTAATCAGCTCAGGTTGCCATAACTTCATCATGAAGTAGGTGGCTTAAATAACAAACATATATTTCTCACAGGTTTGGAGGTTGGGAAGTCCAAGATCAAGTTGCTGGCAGATTCCATGCCTAGTGAGAGTCGCCTCTCGGTATCCTAGATTTCACCTTTTTGCTGTATCCTCACATGGCAGGAGGGGGAAGGAGCTTTTGGGGATATATTTTATGAGGGCACTAATCCATTCATGAGGACTCTACCCTCATGATCTAATCACCTCCCAAAGGCCTCACCTTCATATGTCATATTTAGGGGCTAGGATTTCAACATATGAATTTTAGGGGGACACAAATATTCAGTCCCTAACACCTGGCTAGCCATTTTACCCCAAGATTGAATGGCAAAGGATCAAAAGCGCAGGAGTGCTCAGGACTGGAGAACACTTGTCCATGAACGTTGGAGGCGATACAGGAGCTTCAAAGCCGTGGCAACTTTTGAGGAAGCCCATGATGTGCAAGGGAGGAGCGGACAGTACACAGCTTGCAGTGGGTGGGCCCAGGTGCACTGCTTCTCCAGCTAGTGTAAGCAAGCACACTCTTTCCTCTTCCTCTCCAATCACTTAGGCAATCATTTCTAAACAGCATAGGCCACTGATGTTTTCCCTCCTCCAGTACATCATGGGTACCGCAATGCAAAATGCTCCCTTTGACGACATTACTAACATGTTTAAAGGAACTTTCCTCTACAACACCTTTCATAATTGGTATTAACTGGATTAATGTTAAGTAGGGAAGGGAAAAAATAATTTTCAAGTGAATGTTTTTTATACTAGGGTAAAGGACCAACTTAAAAGCTTAGGAAAACCAGCTTTTGCAAATTATCTTTTCTGAAGCTTCCAGCTGCATTAAATACTGACAGTTTTTAAGCACTGAGATGAAAGAGACAAATTCTTTTTCTTTTGTGTTGCTAATTACAATTTTGCTTAGCATTATGAAGCCTGCTTTCCTCTTGAGACATTTGCCAGCATACATTAATTGCACAAATATTTACAGACTGCTAAAGCACAGGGGCAGCATATACCAAAAAAGATATGGAAC